AAAACTGGAAGCATTCCCTTTGAAATCTGGCACTAGACAAGGATGCCCTCTTTCACCACTCCTATTCAATATAGTACTGGAAGTTCTAACCAGAGCAATCAGGCAAGAAAAATAAATAAAGAGTATTCAAATAGAAACGGTGGAAGCCAAATTGTCTCTATTTGCAGACGACATGATAGTATACCTAGAAGACCCCATCGCCTCAGCCCAAAAACTCCTGAAACTGATAAGCAGCTTCAGCAAAGTCTCAGGATATAAAATCAATGTGCAAAAATCACAAGCATTCGTCTACACCAATAACAGACTTAAAGAAATCCAAATCACGAATGAACTGACATTCACAATTGCTACAGAAAGAATAAAATACCTTGGAATACAACTCACAAGGAACGTAAGGGACCTCTTCAAGGAGAACTACAAACCACTGCTCAACGAAATCAGAGAGGACACAAACAGATGGAGAAACATTCCATGTTCATGGTTAGGAAGAATTAATATCGTGAAAATGGCTATACTGCCCAAAGTAATTTACAGAATCAACGCTATCCCCATCAAGCTACCATTGACTTTCTTCACAGAACTAGAAAAAACCACCATGAACTTCATATGGAACCAAAAGAGAGCCCGCATAGCCAAGTCAATTCTAAGCAAAAAGAACACAGCGGGGGGCATCACGCTACCGGATTTCAAACTATACTACAAGGCTACAGTAATCAAAACCTCATGGTACTGGTATCAAAACAGAGATATAGACCAATGGAACAAAACAGAGGCACCGGAGGCAACACAACATATCTACAACTATACAATCTTTGATAAACCTGACAAAAACAAGCAAGGGGGAAAGGATTCCCTGTTCAACCAATGGTGTTGGGAAAACTGGCTAGCCATGTGCAGAAAGCAGAAACTGGACCCCTTCCTGACACCTTACACTAAAATTAACTCCAGATGGATTAAAGACTTAAACATAAGACCCGGCAACATAAAAACCCTAGGAGGAAATCTAGGCAAAACTATCCAGGACATAGGAGTAGGCAAGGACTTCATGAACAAAACACCAAAAGCATTGGCAACAAAAGCCAAAATAGACAAATGGGACCTAATCAAACTCCACAGCTTCTGCACAGCAAAAGAAACAGTCACTAGAGTTGATCGGCAACCAACAGAATGGGAAAAAATTTTTGCAGTTTATCCATCTGAGAAAGGGCTGATATCCAGAATTTACAAAGAACTCAAACGGATTTACAGGAAGAAAACAAGCCCATTCAAAAGTGGGCAAAGGATATGAACAGACACTTTATGAAAGAAGACATATATGAGGCCAACAATCATATGAAAAAATGCTCATCATCACTGGTCATCAGAGAGATGCTAATCCAAACCACATTGAGATACCATCTCACGCCAGTTAGAATGGCGATCATTAAAAAATCTGGAGACTACTGTAGCCTTGTTGTGTATCCTGAAATCCGGCAGTGTGATGCCCCCGCTGTGTTCTTTTTCCTTAGAATTGACTTGGCTATGCGGGCTCTCTTTTGGTTCCATATGAAGTTCATGGTGGTTTTTTCCAGTTCTGTGAAGAAAGTCAGTGGTAGCTTGATGGGGATAGCGTTGATTCTGTAAATTACTTTGTGCAGTATAGCCATTTTCACGATATTAATTTTTCCTAACCATGAACATGGAATGTTTCTCCATCTGTTTGTGTCTTCTCTGATTTCGTTGAGCAGTGGTTTGTAGTTCTCCTTGTAGAGGTCTCTTACGTTCCTTGTGAGTTGTATTTCAAGGTATTTTATTCTTTTTGTAGCAATTGCGAACGGCAGTTCGCTCTTGATTTGGCTTTCTTTAAGTCTGTTGTTGGTGTAGACGAATGCTTGTGATTTTTGCACATTGATTTTATATCCTGAGACTTTGCTGAAGTTGCTTATCAGTTTCAGGAGTTTTTGGGCTGAGGCAATGAGAACACATGGACACAGAAAGGGGAGTACTAAACACTGGGGTCTATTGGGGGGAAAAGGGGAGGGCCTGTGGGAGGGGGAGGTGGGGAGGGATAGCCTGGGGAGAAGTGCCAAATGTGGGTGAAGGGGAGAAGAAAAGCAAAGCACACTGCCATGTGTGTACCTACGCAACTGTCTTTCATGCTATGCTCATGTACCCCCAAACCTAAAATCCAATTAAAAAAAAAAAAGTCTGGAGACAACAGATGCTGGAGAGGATGTGGAGAAAAAGGAACACTTTTACACTGTTGGTGGGAGTGTAAATTAGTTCAACCATTGTGGAAGACAGTGTGGCGATTCCTCAAGGCCTTAGAAATAGAAATTCCATTGGACCCAGCAATCCCATTACTGGATATATATCCAAAAGACTATAAATCATTCTACTATAAGGACACATGTACACGAATGTTCATTGCAGCACTGTTTACAATAGCAAAGACCTGGAATCAACCCTAATGCCCATTGATAATAGACTGGATTGGAAAAATGTGGCACATATACACCATGGAATATTATGCAGCAATCAGAAATGATGAGTTTGTGTCGTTTGTAGGGACATGGATGAATCTGGAGAACATCATCCTCAGCAAACTGACACAAGAACTGAAAATGAAACACTGCATATTCTCACTCATAGGTGGGTGATGAAAACTGAGAACACATGGACACAGAGAGGGGAGTACTAAACACTGGGGTCTATTGGGGGGAAAAGTGGAGGGCCAGAGGGAGGGGGAGGTGGGGAGGGATAGCCTGGGGAGAAATGCCAAATGTGGGTGAAGGGGAGAAGGAAAGAAAAGCACACTGCTATGTGTGTTCCTGCGCAAGTGTCTTGCATGCTCTGCTCATGTACCCCAAAACCTAAAATCCAATGAAAAATTTAAAAAAAGAAAAAAAAGATTATTAAAAAAAAAGTGGGCAAAGGATATGAACAGATAGTTTACGAAGGAAGACATATATGAGGCCAACAATCATATGAAAAAATGCTCATCGTCACTGGTCATCAGAGAGACGCTAATCAAAACCACATTGAGATACCATCTCACGCCTGTTAGAATGGCGATCATTAAAAAATCTGGGGACAACAGATGCTGGAGAGGATGTGGAGAAAAAGGAACACTTTTACACTGTTGGTGGGAGTGTAAATTAGTTCAACCATTGTGGAAGGCAGTGTGGCGATTCCTCAAGGCCTTAGAAATAGAAATTCCATTTGACCCAGCAATCCCATTACTGGGTATATATCCAAAAGACTATAAATTGTTCTACTATAAGGACACATGTACACGAATGTTCATTGCAGCACTCTTTCCAATAGCAAAGACCTGGAATCAACCCAAATGCCCATTGATAATAGACTGGATTGGAAAAATGTGGCACCTATACACCATGGAATATTATGCAGCAATCAGAAATGATGAGTTTGTGTCGTTTGTAGGTACATGGATGAATCTGGAGAACATCATTCTCAGCAAACTGACACAAGAACAGAAAATGAAATACCGCATATTCTCACTCATAGGCGGGTGATGAAAAATGAGAACACGTGGACACAGAAAGGGCAGTACGAAACACTGGGGTCTATTGGGGAGAAAAGGGGAGGGCCAGTGGGAGGGGGAGGTGGGGAGGGATAGCCTGGGGAGAAATGCCAAATGTGGATGAAGGGGAGACGGAAAGCAAAGCACACTGCCATGTGTGTACCTATGCAACTGTCTTGCATGCTCTGCTCATGTACCCCAAAACCTAAAATCCAATAAATAATTAGAAAAATAAAAAATGAGGATACTCAGCCAATAAAACTCATCTGGGCAAGGGCCATGCTTCAGTAGTTCACATTCTGGAATTCAGATTTTAAGACACCACGCCTTCCTTGATGTAATTAGGTTTACTAGTTTCCAGTGAATTCTTTCAACAATATCTTTTATGTAAACAAGGAAGTACAGTTAAAGGCACACATATTTTATATGCATACTTTATGTGTTTATAGTTGGTAGTGATATTATATACACTGTCTTACATCTTGCTTTTTCCAGTTAATGATATATCTCAGAGATTGTGTGTGTGTGAGTGTGTGTGTGTCTGTGACAGAATTTTGCTTTGTGCATGCTGGCATACGGTGGCATGATCTCAGCTCACTGCAACCTCTATCTCCTGGGCTCAAGTGATCTTCCCACCTGAGTCTCCCAAGTAGCTGGGACTGCAAGGTGTGTACCATCATGCTCAGCTAATTTTTTGTATTTTGTAGAGATGAGGTCTCACTACATTGTCCAGGCTAGTCTTGAACTCCTGGACTTAAGTAATCGTCCCTCCTCAGCCTCCCAAAGAGCTAGGATTACAGGCATGAGCCATGGCACCTGGCCTTTTATTAAAATATAATTGCCAGTCCAGGCGTGGTGGTTCACCCCTGTAATCCCAGCATTTTGGGAGGTCAAGGCGGGCAGATCACCTGAGGTCAGGAGTTGGAGACCAGCCTGTCCAACATGGTGGAACCCCATCTCTACTAAAAATACAAAAACTAGCCAGGCGTACTTGTGGGCACCTGCAATCCCAGCTACTTGAGAGGCTGAGGCAGAAGAATTGCTTGAACCGAAGAGGCAGAGGCAGCAGTGAGCTGAGATCATGCCACTGCACTCCAGCCTGGGTGACAGAATGAGACTTCATCTCAAAAAGAAAAAAAAAAAAGCTTTTTTAATGTGCTTTGTTATTTGGATCAGCTCTGGTTTATTTAACTAGTCCTGTATCCATAGAAATATAGTTGATTGTAATCCTTGGCTGTTACAAACAATATAGAAATAAGAAATAACTTTTGAGGAAAGATACTAGAAATTTGGGAGTTACAGTGGGAAGGAACACTTTTTATGTGTCTTCTAAATTTATTGTTGACTTCTTTAACCATATGTGTATGTTCCCCTTTTCTTCAATGTTAGAATATCGTATATAGTCATTAATTATTTTATTCCAAAGTAGCATGTGGCAAATTTTAATGACCATATTTATATTCTATTGCTTTAGGCTGTCCATGACAATCAGATCCTGATTGTTATTGGTGAGACAGGATCTGGAAAGACAACACAGGTCACCCAGTACCTGGCGGAGGCAGGCTACACTTCCAGGGGCAAGATTGGGTGTACCCAGCCCAGAAGAGTGGCAGCAATGTTAGTGGCCAAAAGGGTGTCGGAAAAGTTTGGTTGTTGCTTAGGCCAAGAGGTATGTAGATAGTGGAGTCACTCTAAGAATACCAGAAGCAAAGGCCCAGATCTCCTAACCTATCAAATGAAAATAAGAATAATACTGCCTTTTCTCAGGTTTCTCCTGAGAGAGAGAGGTTTCCCATTGTCATAATCAGTCTGTTCAGGTTATGGTCTAAGACATACCTGACTATGAGGAAATTACTGTACATCTTGATCAAATTCTTAAGATTATGAGTAACAGTGACTGCACTGAAATCTTGCCTGGTGATTGCGAAAAGGAGACATTTGTATCTTAGGTTTTCTCCTTCCGTTCTGCTTTAGGTGGGCTATGCCATTCAATTTGAGGACTGCACTAGCCCTGAAACAGTCATCAAGTACATGACAGATGGAATGTTGCTTAGGGAGTGCTTGATTGACCCTGACCTCACTCAGTATGCAATCATCATGTTGGATGAGGCGCATGAGAGGACGATTCACACTGATGTGCTCTTTGGATTGTTGAAAAAGGTAACTAGATACTCTTTAATGACCCTTCTACCTGTTGGAAACCAAATTCTGGGAGTTGGATTTGAGTACCTGTGTCTTTTTGGGTAGTCCTTTTCAATAAGCCATATTATATTTCTCTTTAGACAGTTCAGAAATGGCAGGACATGAAGCTGATTGTCACCTCAGCCACCTTGGATGCAGTGAAGTTTTATCAATACTTCCATGAAGCCCCCATTTTCACCATACCAGGTTGAACATATCCAGTGGAAATACTGTACACAAAGGAACCTGAGACAGATTATCTGAATGCCAGCTTGATAACTGTTATGCAGATCCATTTAACAGAGCCACCAGGTAAAGAAAAAGCAATATTTTTCCTCTTAGGCCAAGAGTCCTCATATGAGTATTTTTTTTTTGCTAATCTTTTTCAAAACACCTTCTAAATACTCATCTCTCTGCAAGCCTCAGGCTTGTATGTTTGAAATGGTGGTGGTAGCCAGGTGCAGTGGCTCACGCCTGTAATCCCAGCATTTTGGGAGGCCAAGGCAGGTAGATCACAAAGTCAGGAGATTGAGACCATCCTGGCCAACATGGTGCAACCCCATCTCTACTTAAAATACAAAAATTAGCCAGATGTGGTGGTAGGTACCTATAGTCTCAGCTCTGGAGGCTGAGGCAGGAGAATCACTTGAACTCAGGAGGTGGAAGTTGCAGTGAGCCAAGATCACACCACTGCATTCCAGCCTGGATGACACAGGGAGACTCCATCATACACACACAAAAAAGAATTGGTGGTGATTATAATGTCATATTGTCACATAAACAAACTTCTACTGTTTACTTACTGGTCAGAATATGAATGTATATTTTCTGTTATATGAAGTTTTATTAATATCACCATAGCCTTTGTGTAGAACACACACACACACACACACACACACACACACACACACAGTTAGAAGGTAAATTAATGTTTTATTCTCCTTATAGGTGATATCCTGGTCTTCCTGACTTGTCAGGAAGAGATTGATACTGCTTGTGAGACCCTGTATGAAAGAATGAAATCCCTGGGACCTGATGTTCCAGAGTTAGTTATCCTCCCAGTGTACTCTGCTCTTCCCAGTGAGATGCAGACCCAAATCTTTGACCCAGCTCCACCAGGCAGCAGACAGGTAACACAGGCAAAAGGAAGCTCCCATGTGCCCTGATCATGTGTTCTGTGCAGCTTGTCATAGCAGGGATTGCTTAGGGTGTATGCAAGTCTGTTTGTTAGGTTTTAGAGACTGGTCCAACCAATTGGAATGAGGGTCTAGTATGTGAACTCTGCTCTTATTCCTCATCTCCTTTATTCGACAAATATTTTTTTAGCATCTACCTAAATGCTATACATGGGAACTGCATTATGAGAACAAGCCTCTATCTGCTGTGGGGCATTCCTGGTCAACAGACTTTCAGCATATAGTGTGAAAAGGCCACTCATGCTTGGATACCCAGGTGGGAGTACCCAATTCTGTCTTCTTAGGGGAAATAAGGATCTAAGCTAGCCCTGGAAAGCTCACAAAAGGCAAGCGGACAAGATTTCTGAGGACACAGAACTGTCTGTGATGGCCTGGAGGCAAGGAGGTGGGGCCAGTTCAGAGAATGGCGTAGTTCCAGTGGCTGGAACCAAGTATATAACTGTGTGTATGAGATAACAGGAAAGAAGACAGATGGATGTAGGTATATTTTTAATAACAGCTTTATTGAGATATAATTTACATACCTTTCAATTAACTCCCCCACCCCCTGCTTTTTTTTTTTTGAGACAAGATCTCTGTCACCCAGTCTGGAGTGCAGAGGTATGGTCTTGGCTCACCGAAACCTTTGCCTCTAAGGCTTAAGTGATCCTCCTGCCTCAGCCTCCTAAGCATGTGGGACTACAGGTGTGTGCCACTATTCCTGGCTAATTTTTTTTTTGAGATGAGTTCGCTGTTGTTACCCAGACTGGAGTGCAATGGCATGATCTCGGCTCACTGCAACCTCCGCCTCCTGGGTTCAAGCAATTCTCTTGCCTCAGCCTCCCAAGTAGCTGGGACTACAGGTGCACACCACCATGCCCAGATAATTTTTGTATTTTTAGTAGAGATGGGGGTTTCACCTTGTTGACCAGGATGGTCCCGATCTCTTGACCTCGTGATCCACCCACCTCGGCCTCCCAAAATGCTGGGATTATAGGCGTGAGCCACCACACCCGGCCAATTTTTGTAGAAACACGGTTTTGCTATGTTGCCCAGATTGGAATTTACCCTTTGATTTACAATTCAATGACTTTTAGTATACAGTTATTCCATGGTATGTGGGGATTGGTTCCAGGACCCCCAAGGAAACCAAAATCCAATTATGCTCAAGTCTCTTACATAAAATGTGTAGTAGTTGCATGTAACCTATGCACATCTTCCTGTATGATACTTTAAACCATCTCTAGATTACCTATAATACCTCATATGGTGTAAATGCTATATAAGTAGCTGTTTTACAGTATTTTTAATTTGTATTATTTTTTATTGTATTTTTTCCCCAAATATTTTTAATCTGCTATTGGTTGAATCCACGGATGGGGAACCAGCAGATGCAGAGGGCTGTATTCACAGAATTGTGCAGCCATCACCACAATTGTATTTAGAACAATTTTATCTTCCTAAAAAGAAATCCTGTACCCTTTAGCAGTCACCTTCTACCCCCATTTACTCCTCTGCTCAGCCATTGGAAACCACCAATCTATACTTCCTGTCTCTGTGGGTTTGCCTATTCTAGACATTTCATATAAATGAAAGCATATATTTGTGGCTGGCTTATTTCCAGTGATTTTTTCCAGACTTAGAGTTTATCACCATTGTAGTATGTATCAATACTTCATTTCTGGCGGGGCACGGTGGCTCATGTCTGTAATCCCAACACTTTGGGAGGCTGAAGCTGGTGGATCACGAGGTCAAGAGATCGAGACCATCCTGGTCAACATGGTGAAACCCCGTCTCTACTAAAAATACAAAAAAATTAGCTGGGCATGGTGGCACGTGCCTGTAATCCCAGCTACTCAGGAGGCTGGGGCAGGAGAATTGCCTGAACCCAGGAGGCAGAGGTTGCGGTGAACGGAGATCATGCCATTGCACTCCAGCCTGGGTAACAAGAGCGAAACTCTGTCTCAAAAAAATAAAATACTTCATTTCTTTCTATTGCTGAATACTCTTCTGTTGTACGGGCACAAAAAATTTTGTTTATCCATTTATCAGTTGATGGACATTGGAGCTGGGCACAGTGGCTCATGCCTGTAATTTCAGCAGTAGGAGAGACTGAGGCAGGTGGATCACCCGAGGTCAGGAGTTCAAGACCTGCCTGGCCAACATGGTGAAACCCTGTCTCTACTGAAAATATAAAAACTAGCCGGGTGTGGTGACGGACGCCTATAATCCCAGCTATGTGGGAGGCTGAGGCAGGAGAATACCCTGAATCCAGGAGGCAGAGGTTGCAGTGAGCTGAGACTGCACTCTCTCCAGCCTGGGCAGCAAACAAAACTGTCTCAAAAAAAAAGAAAGAAAGAGATAGGCATGGGAGTTGTTTCCACTTTTGGGCTATCATGAACAATTCTGCTGTGAACATTTATTTACAATTTTTTGTGTGAACCAGTTGTAGTGACTCATGCCTGTGATACCAGAATTTTTTTTTTGAGACAGAGTCTTGCAGTGGTGCAATCTCAGCTCACTGCAACCTCTGTCTCCCGGGTTCAAGTGATTCTTCTGCCTCAGCCTCCTGAGTAGCTGGGATTACAGGCATGTGCCACAATGCCTGGCTGATTTTTGTGTTTTAATAGAGAAAGGGTTTTGCCATGTTGGCCTGGCTGGTCTCAAACTCATGACCTCAGGTAATTCACCTGCCTCTGCCTCTTAAAGTGCTAGGATTACAGGTGTGAGCCACCACACCCAGCCATTCCCAGCATTTTTAGAGGCCAAGGTGGGATGATCCCTTGAGCCCAGAAGTTTAAGACCAGCCTGGGCAATATGGTTAAGACCCCTATCTCTACAAAAAATAAAAAATAAAAAATTAACCAGGCATGGTGGCATGTACCTATACTCAAGAGGCTGAGGTGGGAGGATCACTTGAACCCAGGAGGGTGAAGGGGCTGTGAGCTGCGGTCATACCACTGTGCTCCAGCTAGGGATACAGAGCAAACCAGACCCTGCCTCAGAAAACCAGGTTTTTGTGTGGACATATGTTTTCATTTCTCTTAGGCATATTCCTAAAAGTAGAAGGAAGATGGACTTAGCCAGTGCAGTGGCTCATGCCTGTAATCTCAGTAACTTTCAGAGGCTGAGGCAGGTGGATCACAAGGTCAGGAGTTCAAGACTGGCCTGGCCAACATAGTGAAACTCTGTCTCTACTAAAAATACAAAAATTAGTCGGGCGTGGTGGCATATGCTTGTCGGGAGGCTGAGGCAGGAGAATTGCTTGAACCTGGGAGGCAGAGGTTGCAGTGAGCCGAGATCATGCCATTGTACTTCACCCTGGGCAACAAGAGCAAAACCCCATCTCAAAAAATAGTTAAGATGGAAAAGACTTGGTGGGTGTTAGGAGGTAAAGGGGAGAAGAGTGAGGGAAGTCAGGCATGACTCAAGTTTCTGGCTTGGGCAGCTGGATCGAAGATGGTGCTGAGGAGGGAAACATAAGAGGACAATCAGGCTTGAGTGGAAAGATGGTGAATTTCTCCCCTATTCTATTACTAATAGTTGGAGTTCTTTCTAAGCAGGGCTTCTGCAGTTCTGTAACAGGTAGAAGCCTTTCAGGGCCACTAAGATGCTGGCATGATGCATGCTATTCCAGTGCCTCCTAGTCATGATTTTTCCAAGCAATTGTGTTTTATTAGCTGAACCTCTGGGTGGAAGAACAGTGACAGTGTCAAGCTGAGACAAATAATCCTCTAGATCACATAGATGGCTACACACACACACAAACTTGGCTACACACATACACAAACTGTGAAATTCATGGTCATCTCATGGTTCATTTTACGATCAGTTAAAAAAAAAGCAGTCTCTCTCTTGTTCCACATACATATTCCACAGAATACAAGCCGCCCATTTTTTAGTCCAGATGTCTCGGTAGGGGAAAGAAAAATCTCATTTTGCATTGGCACATGTGATGCCAGGAAATCTCTGCTTTCCCAGGGTGCCAGAAAATTACAATTGTAGTAATCAACATTGGATCTAGAAAATGAGACATACAGTAGCTATTTGTACCAAATGAAAATGGCTTTGATTGGCCTTAGCTTTTTCCTGTACCTCTCAGGTACCATCCCTTTTCCAACTTAACCCTTAAGCTGAAGGTACCTCCCTGCTGCCCCTTGGAGGCTGAGCTGGGATTAAGTGTCATTTTAACCATCCACAGAAGGAGATAGTCACATATTCCTTTGGGAAGATGTCTGGGTTCAGAAGAACCATTTCATACCTCAGGGCTGAGCCGGGAACCTCACTGCAGCTTTGCCTCTCTTGACTGCAGGTTGTGTTTGCCACCAATATCACAGAAACGTCGCTGACTATTGATGGCATCTACTACGTGGTGGACCCAGGATTCGTGAAGCAGAAAGTTTACAATTCCAAGATAGGGATTGACCAGCTTGTGGTAACACCTATTTCTCAGGTATGGCAGCTTGTATCAACAGTTTTCCTAACAATCCTGGTTAGGGCCTTCCTGAAAATTTTTATGGTTATATATTTCAAACTTTATTGTTTTCAGAGATGAACTTTTATGATACTGGGTACTATAATGGCACGAGGGAAGGGTTTTTTGTTCTTTGTTTTTTATCTTTTTTTTTACCTCCAAGTCTGACTGATCCTTAAGGTTTTTAATCTTTAGAATAGTATTTCACCATTAAAATGCCCCCATGAGGCCAGACACCGTGGCTCACACCTATAATCCTAGCACTTTGGAATGCTGAAATGGAAGGATTGCTTGAGCCCAGGAGTTCTAGACTAGCCTGGGAAACATAGCAAGATCCTGCCACCACAAAAAAATAAAAACAAATTACCCTGGCATGGTGGCATGTGCCTGCAGTCCCAGCTGGTTAAGAGTCTAAGTTTGGAGGATCACTTGAGCCCAGGAGTCCGAGGCTGCAGGGAGCTAGGATAGCGCCACTGCACTCCAGCTGGAGTGACAGAGCAAGGCCCTGTCTCTAAAATAATTTCCTGCTTAAGCAGGAAATTACATTTAAAAATGAATTACCTGATCACTTTTTTGAGAGAAGTTTGGCAACAGTATATCCAAAATTTTAGGGTTCATCTCTTTAACCTAACTGTTCTGCTTCTAGGAACATATCTGAAAGTTAGAAATGATTAAATATATGTCCAAAGGTAATGGAAAAGGATGTTCATTGAAGCATTGTTTATATCAGGGGAAACCTGGAAAATATTCTAAATGTATTCCAAAAGGGAAGTAGTTTAATAAATTATGGTATATTCCTGCCATGGAATGTTGGTGGCATTAACATGGTGGCATGTATCTACCTTTTAATGACATAAGCATGTAACTGTAAGATTTTATTTGAAAAAGTGAGTCTACAAAACAACATGAATGGTATAATTCAATTTTTGTTTAAAAATAGATGGCGTTTCAACCTTAGACTTCTCAGAAAAAAAAAAGATGGTGTGCATTTCTGCAGTGTGTATGTGAGTGAGGAGTGCCCAAGATTGAAAGCATGTAGTCTAAATGTTAGCGAAGATATTTCCGGGCAGTGCTGCTAGGTGAAATGCATTTTCTTTGATACTTTTAATATATTTATTTATTTAATGGGGTTTCACCATAGTGGTCAGGCTGGTTTTTGAACCTGAACTCTGAACCTCAGGTGATCTGCCTGCCTCGGCCTCCCAAAGTGCTGGGATTACAGGCGTGAGCCACTGCATTTGGCTTCTTTTATACTTTCATGCAGTCTTTCACAAAGGGTATGTATTACTTTCATAATTTGTAAAAGCCATAAGGCTATTTTTATTTTGAAACTTAAGTAATAATCACAGCTACCACTTATGGTGTACTTACCCAGTACCAGGTACTGCCCTAGCTATGTGCATTGACTCAGTGCATTCTTGCATTGATCCTGTGTGGTATATATTATTTTCACAGATGAGGAGCCTGAGCCACAGAAGGGTTAGGTCACTTGCCTAATATCACAGAGCTAGTAGAGCCAAGATTTGAACCTGGGTAACCTGACTCCAGCTTGTGTGCTGTATACCACTTGTCAAGGGGGTGGTCATCAAAAAAATCAGTTACGCATGCCTTTTCTGATCTGGAGAGAGACATCTATAGAATGCTGTGGAGTCCAGCCACTGTGCATGATTGCTGCCTGGATTTGTGTACTTAGTTTTCCTTTCATACTCCATCCTTTGATTTAGAGCTGGCATAGTCATTTGTAAATCCTGGTACTGTTTGTAACAACAGATGGTTTTGTCAGAAAATGGCCCTCTTCAGATTGCTATTCATTGTTTCCTAGCAACCTATGGCTAACCTACATTAAAAATTTTTTTAAAAACCCAGCATTTTCTTCTCCCAATACAGAAGTAGTATTACGTTATTTTTGAAAAATAGAAGAAAAAAATTTAATTACCCATCATCCTACTACATCCACTGTTGTCATTTTGCTGTTTTTCTTTCCAGTCTTTTTTCATGTTTATTTCTTTCATGGTTACAATTTTAGTAGTCAAATAAGTAGGCAGTTTTGTATTTTTTTTGCATATTTAATTTTCCTACTGGGATAATACGTGTTCAATATTTGGTAAAGTCTAAAGAAAATAGACCTCATCTGCAAATCTGTCAGAGTTGGCCACTGTTCACATTTTAGGTTTTTTTCCCTTAGTCATTTCCTTCTAGTAGTTGATATACAAAGACTTTTTACAAAATTAACATTATATTGTTTTGTAACTCGCATTTTGCATTTAATGTGAGTGAACATTTTCTTCTGTTAGTTAACATTGCAAACATGATTTTTATTTATTTTTTTTAGAGTCAGGGTCAGTCTCTGTTGTTGCCAGGCTATAGTGCAGTGGCATGATCACAGCTCACTGCAGCCAGCCTCAACCCCCACAGGCTCAGGTGGTCCTCCCATCTGAGCCTCCTGAATAGCTGGGACACAGATGTGCAAACTGATCATTGCTTTTAGCGTGACATGTGCAATCAAGTAAGCATGTTTATTATGTTTACTTCCTCACTCATGAAGTATTAGCCTCTTCATTTTACAGATGAAAAATCTGAGGCTCATAGAAGTGAAGAAAACTGCCTAAAGCAACACAGCTAGTGAGTGGTAGAGGTAGAATTTTTGCCCAGATTTGTCTGACTCCAAAGCTAAGGGCCAAAGAGGTTTGGGCTGGAGAGTCAAGAACAAGTAGTGGCTTGCCAAGTGTGGACCACGCGGCGATGGGATAGATAAGGGAGGTGGTGAAGTGATTAGCATCCAGTCCAGACTCTGAGGTCAAATGCCTGGGTTTGAATCTTGCCTCTGCCACGTCATGGGAATGTTGTGTCGATTTAATAAGTGTATGTATGCAAAAATGCTTACAACAGTGGTTGGCATGTAGTGAGGATTCAACGTGCAGAAGTTTTATTACAGCCTCTTATGAATACAAGCTCAGTGTTGTGGCTCTGAGGTTGGCGATCATTAAGATAGAAAAACCCCTTTCAGGTTTACAGTTAAAACATGGTTTACTCCAGAGAGGAGGATTGGTGAAGAAGAAGAATATTTTCTCTGTTTTTACAAGGTTTGAATTTTTTATAATCATGTATTATTTTTTAAAGTAAAAACAACATATCTTATAAAAATGCTTCCACCAATAAAAGAACACTTGTGCTTGGGGAAAAAATAATTCTGGAGGATCTGCATTTATTTTAATTCCTGACGAAACCCAAAAAGTCAACCTACTGTATGCAACCTCTGGTCCAGAGTCTTTTCAGTGAGAGGCACACTGCCAATTTTATAGATTCATTTATTTTACTCCTTCAGCCTGTTTTCCATTATGAGCAATTTGCTGCCATTCGATCTTAATAGATGACCTGGCAGACATTTCTAGACCTCAGCTCTGCACAGAGCACCTCTCAGATTCCTGGCAGGTGCTCTAGGTACTCCCTAGAAGGAAGATATTTACAGGGGCCTACAAGCAGGGTCTTTCTCTAGGAGACTTATGGATGGGTAGGGGAAACCTGTGAAGTAGGAGTCTGAACATTCCAATTATTGCTGAAATCTGGAGCTAAACAGAAGGAGGAAGACGAAGAGGTGAGTAGCTAGTATCCCTCTTAGTGAGGAATGACAAGCCATCTCAAGCATCTCACCCTGGGGAGTGTAGGTAGGCTGTACAGCTTCCATCTTGCCCAGTCTAAGTTTTCCATGTCAACTTTAGAAGGCTCTTTTTCCTTGGCTGAAATTTGGCTTTCTTGTCTGTGAATTGGACTTCATATTTCCTCTGTTCCATGAATTTGGTGAAATCTATTTAGCTATGGTCTGAAATGTATTGCAAGCCTTATGAGAGTAAACTATAGAGCATTTTCATAATGGAAAGTGAAATCATACAGAAATACGAACAGAATACAGTTGAGTGATGCATTGTCAGCCTTGAAGGAATCCAAGTGTGTGAGAAGGCACTTAAGTCACCTTTAGACTTAGCCCACCAGAATAGAGTCCAAAGCAAGCAAAAATTCAATGTTTTACACTTAACTGTATATAAGGATAAGTATATGCTAGGAGCCAGCATCAAAGACCCAAGGAGAAAGGTTCTAGAATGTTGTAAGGAAAAAAAAAGTCTATTATTATCTTGCAGGTATCTTTATAAGAGTAACTAGAAATTGTTATATCCTAGCTAAAGTCCCAAGAACGAATGCCTCCCAGGGCTTCCTGCCCTTCCAAGCACACCTGTATCTCATCTCCATTGGACTCTGAATACCATATCTCTGTTTTCCCTCTCCCTCTGCTGAGCCAGATCTTGGCATGGGAGCAATAAAAGAGGCAGCCCTGAGGTGTCTCCATCTCACATATCCCTTACAAGGACAAGATGCCCTCAGTTCTGCTCTCCCATGCTTGGACAAAGGTTAGGCCAGTACAAGCTCATACAGAGAAGGGGGAGAGTTCAGAGCTCACATGGTTTAAGTTATAAAATGACCCAAGAATTTAAGAGGCAAAGACCGCTAATGTCTGAGACCACTGGTGTCTGAGACTACTGGTGTCTGCTTTACAGGGCTTTTCTTCTGTTCCCATCCCACATGCAACCAGACAGTGTGAGAATCTGGTGGTTCACACACCACTGGGTTTTCTCTTCTTTTCTGTCTCTTGGGTGGGCAGTGGGGGAAAGGGGATTTTCTTTTTCCTGAGTTCTTCATCTCTTCATGAAAATGTTCCTAATGGCAGTGCAATATATCTGTTATGAAAAAGTTCTTATTTTACTAACTGTTGGTTTATTTACTAATCTGTTGGTAAGTGTGGCATTGGGGAGGCTTGAAGGAATCTGGGATATGCCCTAGCCTCCATTTCCAAAAAAAAGGGGACATTTTTGCAAATGTGATAGAAGTATTAAAATTATATAAAATCAACTATATCATGAAATTAGCCTCGTGTGTTCTGTAATTGGTATTAGATCACATTTTCAAAAAAGAAAAGTCAAGATAGA